TATTATTATTATTATTATTATAATACTGATTTTCGTTACTTACAATAGCTATGGTAGAACAACTCAAAAACCAAACACTGCCAAAAGAATCCATGCACCTCTCCTGGAATAGCGAAATCAATATCAAATGTTCCTAAGAAATACAGACGAAACACAAACCTGTAAAATCTACTATGTCGAAGTTTTGTTTATTCACTCATACAAAGTTTGTATAAATTAACAAATATTTCGAAAAGTTTCCGGAATGATACTAGTTGTGAAAGTTGCTTTCAAATTATTATCTATTGAAGTTGGTCTAGATTGCAATTGTTTGCAGATCTATATTCTACCTCTTAGTAACGGTAAGTACTAAATGTAACTATCGCCTGAGACTAATTCAAAACTGTCAGGAAATATACAAGGTGAAAAAAAATCCACTCTTTTTATTAACATCGCGTACCACAGCTAATGAAGGTTTTGCAAGGGTTTTTATTTGCGAAACGTCTTACTTTTTTAATGAAAAATACAGGATGATTTCTATAAACATCGCTGGGATGAAAACAACAAATAGTCGGGTGATAACTGGTGATATTTTCAAATTGTTTTACAAAAAAAGTGTTTTTTTTGATACCAAAGTTGGAGAATCTGGGAAAACCCAACAACTGAAATACACGCAATTGAAGTCACGAGCAATAGCTAGTTATGGATAAACGAAAACCCAAAAGCTAAGCGAGCTGATTTTGCAGACATTATCATTATCAACAAATAAATTGCCAATGATGTTTAGTTCATTAACTTTATAACTGAATACCAACATCCCGTATGTATTCTTTTTGACTAAACGGTCTGTGAATTTTTAAATTTGTGGTGGAGGTTCAAGANGCATAATTGCCGTTACTGGGATGACAGTAACCCACACTTATTCCGAGAGGTCCATACCCAGTACCCTCAAAAAATCAATGTCTGTTGTGGCATATTAGGTAGTCATATCGTAGGGCCACTTTTTATTCCTGGGAATTTAACTGGTGAGGTCTACCTGAACATGCTTGAAGATACAATTGATCCTCTCATAACAGAAATAATTGACCAAATGACCAAAACCATAATGATGATCGGCTTCATTTCCAAGTGATCATCTTCAAGAGGAAGATAAAACAGTTTTATCTTCATCTTGAAGATGATCACTTGGTGATCGAAATACGTGTCGAGGTGTAAAAATAACGATTTGGTGTTGGGAAAAAACTCCAGTAATATTTATAATACCTACATGTTTGAGTGAAATACAACAAATTAGGTATCATTGGAAAGATAATTTTGTGCCCTTTCAAATGATATATCACTCGACCCCACTTTCCATTTAAAATTTTAGGGTTGTTACTCACCGTCGCTAGGGAGTTGAAGACACAGGTAGAAAAATACATCTAAAATGTGTCCCCCTCAAAAACAAAATTGACCTGTTCGAGCATTTTTGCGTTAAGTTACAAAAAAAGGAGAAATGCAAGCAAGGTGCATACTTTTCGTTGGACCACTCTGTATAAATGGTAAAGTGAATAGACACAACCATCAGTTTAATGTAATAAACGAGATCATTTTTGTCTAATTTCCACTACTTATTTCATTTTCACAACAGGTTTGGGGTTTTATTCTATTATCGTTATCTATTAAAAACTAACTAATACCTAGTGAAAATTAGATACAAGTATTTTCATTCATTTCATTAAAGTGTTCATGAATTTCCACAAAATAAACAAGTCATCAATTACACAACTGTCAGTACTGGAGTGAAAATATTCTCATTTATTTCGAGAAACATACTAGACAACTAGACAACTAGAACATTACTAAAAGATAACAATCTTAAAGTAACAAATTGATGTTTCAGTAGATTGGGGTACCTCCACACTATCCTCTTTCCGTAGAACGAAGGGTTTCGTAGACTACGAATTGGCAAGAGAAGTACCGTGGATTGGCCTACCAGATCACCCGATTTTAGGCCATATCTGAAAAGCATTATATGCCACAGTACCCCTCTCAGTTTCAATATTCAATATAATAATTTCAAATCAAACTTGTTACTTGTCCAACAGCGACCATTCTTATTTCTTCCAAACGAATGAAAAATATACTAACAAACTTTTGAAATATGTATAGCGTCAAATGTATTTTTTTTCAAAGGATTTCACACAGGTCAAAGGAAAGTAGATTCATTGATATTTTCAAGATTGTGCATGCGGTTCCGGATGCACAATCTTGAAAAGTAAATATGTGAATGCTTTCTTCTTTGATCTGTCGAAGACATTCGTCTCACTCGATATTCCAAAAGTTATTATTGAACTCAGAGAAATCGGAATTCTTGGCATGTTTTTATCCTAGCTGTAGTATTATTTCGAAACGTAGGGGACCGTTGCCAAAAATACAGAGCCTTATAGTTGAAAGGAGTCACTACGAATGAGTCATTTGATATTGAGACTATAAAAAAATCGTAAAACACGTCAACATGAGGTATGTTTCTTAAATGTTCGACGGATATAATTCAATGTCAAGCGTAGTATTAGCCGGGGAAGTAGTTGTTCTCCGGCAGGCATCCATGCGAACCTACTGTGTAGGTACATTGTTGGAGATGAATAATTGAAGATTTCATTTCGAAATGTTCATTTTCTTATATGTATCTATCTCTCTTCGATGCAGTTTTCAGACTTGTTTTGATTTCTGTTGGAGTATTGGTACATAAGAAGATTTTTCCTGCTTCTGGGCTTTCTTCACGAGCTGAGGCTGTTGCTGGTTAACTATTTCTCTCAGAAGAAGGATCCATACTTACAGTCGATCTGCACTTATCAGAATTTACTGCGTAGGTAAGTTGGAAATAATGAATGTTTTGAAATTTAATTTCGAAATATTTATTTCCTTATACGATACAGTCTTCAGAAATTTTGATGATGCTATTATGGCTTTGTTGATCTTGTCGATTTCCTCAATTTCCTTTTGGTACTCTACTAATTGAACTATATGCAGCCGATGTCCAGTATTTCTCCAGTTTTGTATAATTCTCAGGGCAAGTTTAGCACTGGGACACATACCAAAAATTTGGAGACTGATCAGGGTCACCTTCATTCCGAAACCTGGGAAAATCGGGCAGGACTCGACGAAGGTCTTGAGACCAATCAGTCTCATGTCATTTGCGTTGAAAACGCTAGAAAAACTATTTGACAGACATATCAGGGACGTATCGCTGGCTATCAGATCATTACATCGAGACCAATATGCATACAGGTCAGGTATGTCAACAGAAATGGCTCTATGTCGGGTAACAGAAAAAGTAGAACTCAACAAGGAAGTACTTTTAGCTGCTTTCTTGGACATTGAAGGCGCATTTGACAATACGTCGACAAGACAAGCTGTAGGTGGATAGACTGCATGCTTAGGGGAAGATTGGTATATACAACTATCATGGGGGAAACAGTCGTGGCACGGGTAGCAAGGGGCTGTCCTAAGTGGGAGAGTTATATCCCCACTGTTATGGAACATTGTAATGGACGTTCTATTATGTCTCCTGGATCACAATGGGTATAAAGCACTGGGCTCTGCAGACGACTTAGTCATCTTAGTCCAGGGTAAATAAAATAATGTAGTGAAGAGATGCATGCAGCAAGCCCTGAACATTATAACAAAATGGACCGAAGAAGAAGGGCTTAACATAAGCCCATCCAAATCGACCATAGTAGCATTCACCAAGAGGACTAAAAAGGAGGACCTCGGACCTCTAAAACTTCGAGGTCGAAAAATACAAGTGTCGAAGGAGGTTAAATATCTGGGAGTAATTCTAGATTCGAAACTGATCTGGAACCAACACTTGGACAGGATAAAGAGGAAAGCGGAGGTAGCACTTATGCTCGCCAGACGCACCTATGCATATATAGGTCCTGAACCAGCTCTGGGGGTACCAAAATCATTGGTATGAAATCATATTAGGACATGGACCAACAAGAAGCACACAGAGTACTGAAAAAAAGTACCTGGCAACAAACACAGTAGAACCTTCATTAGAGAACCGTCCGAGAAAAGAACCGAACAACTACTTCAATATAGTAGGGATCGGCTCAGAATAATTACTGGGTTACTAACCGGTCATTGTCCGCTTAGAGGACACCTGAATAAACTAGGGGTGTAGCTGCAGATTATGCAACGAAGGGATGGAAACAGCTCTACACATCTACATCCACACATCAATATATGGACGTACGAAATTACATCCAGACGAATATGACGAACATCAAACACGAAACCTGTACAAACTAGTACAGGGAACGAGACTGATGGAATGGGTGTCATGAGAAGATGGGAGAATAAACGCAATAAGCCCAAGAGGCTGTAGTGTTTTCTGGAGACTTGGACTAAATGGACAAGTCAGACAGCTCCCAAGGTACTAAAAAAAAATTCTCCAGTTTTTTTCAGACTTGTTTTGATTTCTGTTGGAGTATTGGTACATAAGAAGATTTTTCCTGCTTCTGGGCTTTCTTCACGAGCTGAGGCTGTTGCTGGTTCAAATTCTCTTGTGAGTTTTTCAAGTGATCATTCATTTCATTAGAATTTCAAATGCACGAACGTTATCGATGGAAGCTCATTATGGAGTTTAATGGCATGCGAAAAGAATGATAAAATATGGATGAAAAATGACAAAGTGTTTATAATGAAATTTATTTCTCGTTTCTCAGGAAAACGAAATACACGGTTCGATAATTTGGTTAAGCTCATCACAATGCAAGTAAAATTATTTTCTGTACATCAAATTCTGTACTTTTGGTGAATATTTGAAATTCTATTGTCTGAAGAAATGAAATATATGGAAGAACAGATGAAATTAAAATGAATTGAAAGTTGAATTTAATAAAAATACTAAAAATTACCGGACCGATATATTGGTATAAGTTCGAGTTGGTTTAAATAGAAAAAATGAGCAATGAGTCCATTTTTTTCCAAGAAAGTTTGGAAAAAAATGGACTTTGTAGAGAAAAATTTCATGAAAAATACGAAAAACTGAAAAAAAAGGAGTAACAGTTATTCATCAATATTTTTAGCTCTAATTTATGCAAATGCAAATTTTTAATTGTTCAGTGTTAAACTCGCAATTTGTAATAGATACCCTGTCAATGTCAATGTCTAGTTTATTTGGTCGGTCGGTAGCCAGGCGGTTCGACGTGGGTGCTTTGTTCACTGACTCGAATTGACTGCCGTGTTGGTCGGTGGTTCAAGCCGTAGTCTGAACGATCGATTTTGACTTGCTATCGTCCAACCCGTATTAGGAATCACACGTTAAAAGGTAAGACCTCGTTTATCCTTAGCTCGCACAAGTTTCGACTTCTGAGGGTTGTCTTTCGTAGGGGTAGGACAGCTGGTTAACGAAAAAACAGA